TTCAGGAATCTCTTGCTGTGTGCAGCAGTGCTATTATCGTGCACCGAGGCCCGAAGTGTTAAACTTGCTTCCTCAGCAGTTCGAGGTAGACATCATATTTATTCAGTAAAGATAAGGAGAAATGCTTGTTTCAGTGTTGCTCCTCTGCATCCAAATACTAGTTTTGTTTTAATCTGTGACATCCTGAGATGTCCATCTTTGAGTCCCTACTTAGAGACTTTAACATCTCTTTCAGATCTGTAGTTTGGCTTCAATGTGATAAAAGCAAGACCTACTGTATGTATATAACACCAGGCTTTTATATTATCTGGTGGCTCTCAAAGTGATATAAATCCAAAAAATGGAAATACTTTCATTTTGTCAAACAGCTGGATCCCCTCTCTTTGGAGAGACAAAGATGGTTAAAGAGGGAGTTTGATGTTGAATGAAAAAACCATTCCCACACTTTTAGTTACCTCTAAACATTTAGAGGTCCAAAAGGTAAATTGTTTCACTAAGTCTTATTTCACGCCACTTGTGTAACTGTATAATGTTTCAGAAATGCTTGAATGTGTGGCAGTAAACAGCCTAAAAGCATTTATGATGCATAACCTTTGTAATTGTGGTTGCCTCACTGGAGGGTTTGTGCTGCAAATAAGAAAAAAAAAAAAAAGTTCCTTCATGGCAAACCCGCATTGGCACTAACTCCCCTGTGACCAGCGGTTGCACATCCACAGAACACAGGCTGTCTGGGACGTTTGGTTTTCATGGTCTGTGAAAACAGCCTTTGTTAAACAACAGCATTCCTCACAGCTCACACTGGTGAGCCATTTGTCTCACACCTCAAACACCTCCCCAGTCCTATCCTCCTCCCTCCTGTAGCCACTATCACCGTCCCATCCCCTGCCAATGCTCGGACGTCTACGGTACGGAGAGGTCACCTAACTGCTGACGCTACACACTCTGTTTGCAGCTCCATGTAGGTTCTTTCCCATAATGAGCTTGCACTGAAATGGCCCACTGCAGTACACACTGACCTTTAGAGTGTGTGTATCAAGTCAATTAACACAGCTTACCCGTTACAGTGAACTTCAACATAGTGATGAGTAAAGAAAGATAAATTTGCTTATATTACGCATATCCTTTAAAATAATCTAACGAAAGGGATCCTTTATGATGTGCATCAAGAACCTGATAGGAACAAGGATGTATCACAAAGCTTTTTATGTTGAAAGCTATACAATTAGAGCCAAACTGTTGGACAGGAGAACAATATACCTGTCTTAGTGAGGGATCTTCACTGATAGGTTATATTATCACCTAAAGATAAGTTATCTAAATGTATTAGGGTTACAGGTACAGAATATAAAACTGCAGTTTTATCTGAATTAATAGAGAGCGCCATCTGCTGGTGTTCTGGTAAAGTATATACAGTCTTCACATACACGGTGCATAGCAATAACATTGATGAATATATCTAGAAATGTTATGTGATAGAATAACACAAAATAATGCAGAAATTAAAAATGGAAAAAAATGTTATTCATTGTTCTCAAAGTGTCTAAGGTATTGTCTCTGAGGTCAACCTTATCAACCTTTTTCCAGGCTGAGGGCCATTTCATGGGTACTGAGTCATAGGAAGGGCTACCAATACTGATCTATGAACTGGAGGGATTAGTGGTCACCTAAAATTCATGCATAATCAACATATTTTTAATGTTTTTTTTTTCTTTTTTTCTGTTATTAAATAAACTGAATTGAATAGACAAAAGTCTGGAACTGGAATCTACTACTACTAAGTATTTGAGGCAAATATTATCCATATTTCTACAACAGAGGACATTGGCCATTTCAGATTATGGAGAATAGAATAAGAATGACCTTCATTCATGACCTCTCATATGGAAATAGACATAGTACATAGTGTATGCCCCCAATATGCAGATACACACAGGGGTAAAAAAAATATCAAAATTAAAGTAAGAATTAAGGAAGGGCTTCATCAGGGAAAATTGGCAACATAAAAAATAATGTACAATTAATAGTTGAAAAAAAAAGAAACATATTAAATGATTCCAGAGGTTGGCAGGTTTGCATGGTAAGCCTAAGAAAAGCGCAAAAATGTGTAGCCATATTTATGCATTATAATACTATTAGACAATTTACAAGAATAAAAATACCTGTTAATAAAACAGGGATTTAAGCTCTTATAGCGTTTGTTGGGAGCTGTGATGGTTATTACGTCTAACAGCTGCTGGCAAAAAGAATCTGTAATAATGCTCCTTTGCAGTAGTCTGTCACTAAATGACCTCTCCATCTTTACAACAGCTTTGGATAAAGGCTCAGTGTGCAATGTATTACTAAAAGATGACCTTTTTTTGGCGTTCCATTTTACTTTAACACAGTTTGGAAGATTATCAAATAGTTGTTTCTGATTAGAATATTTTAGTTTTCTTGCCAATCCTGACTGCTAAATTAAATTATGCGACCCACATTAAAAGATTAAAAACAAAATAAATTTTGCTCTTTGGATCATTTGTATTTGGAAAATTAAGTCACTCAGTTCTACGCTACCTTCTTTGGTCAATAAACTGCTCAGAAGTTATAAAAAAAAAAGAAAAAGGGATAGAAATTCATTGCTATTAATTTGTGTTGCTAATAGCAGTTAGCATAGCCATAAAAAAAAAAAAAAATATATATATATATATATATATATATATATATATTTTTTTTTTTTAATCATAGTAACAGATTTAATAATAAATGTTTAAGTGGGACTGGTAAAAAGCATATTTCAAATGTAAATAAAATAATTTCCTTTATTTGCATGAACCATCCTTAAATATGCCTCCTAACTCTTAACATTAAATTGAATATTTTGGATGTTTGTTTTTCTAGGATGACTAGTTGCCCTCAGAAATAACATTATTAGAAATTTTAATTTTAGTTGCAATTTTATAGCAGTTTTTAAGCAAATTTAATAAAAAAAAAAAAAACACAACAAAAAAAAAAAAAAACAACAGTACACGACAATACATTGAGTTCTTCATGTTGCCTCATGAAAGCTCGAATGCTTTCTCCTATGTGTCCGTTTTTGGAAGATGAGATGTTGCAGATGAAGTGACGACAGGGAGGGATGGTGGAGAAAGGATGTGAAAGCCCAGAAGGAGAGGGTCATGGGTAATTTGCAGTGAAGGCAAGAATGCCGAGTAAAACAGAAAGGTATGAAATAACAAGCAAGTGAACTGTGTTCTCAAAAAGGTTCTCAGATGAATAGACTGACATGGGCATTTGTGCAGGGTTAGTGAAAATAAACTAAAATAATACTGGTATAGTTTATTTACACATAATAAATTAACATTTATTAGATAAAAGGTCTAAACTTAAAGATAACTCACACCACTGTTTAAGTTTCATGTCATGTGCCATTATTGGAAATGTTAAATTAAGGGACATTTTAATTAAATAAAAATATCCTTTCAGTGTTTTAGTATAATTTTTTTAACAGCTGTTATTAAAAATTAATGTCAAACCTGAAGAGGCCTGAAAACTAAAGGAGGAAAAATTTATAGTGACCGAACACAGAATTAAAAACTAAAGGATAACGAAAAAGGGAGATCTCATAAACCTCCACACTACAAAAGCAAAGACCTCAGACCTCAGGAAACAACGCATACAAGGCAGCAAAGCAGTGAACATTCTGCAGAAAATCCCTTTGCTCCTAAAAACTTACAGCTGTGATTCCAAAGGCAGAGTTTATGGTTTTTAGCAGTAAAATATAAAGGGTGCAAAAACATATGGCTGCTATTATAGGGTGTACGTTGTCGAGTCAGAGCATTAAAAGTATATATTAACTAGGAAAACCACCAACATGTACCAGCCTTTTTTGGATCAAACCAGCACTAAAAATGGAATACTTGCCCAAAATGATTGGATGTTTTTTTTTTCTATCCACAGAGCTCGAAATAACATGTCTCATCCACATGGAAGCATGAAATTCACCATATTTTTTAACAACTCCACTAAATGTGCATTATATTGATGAAAGAGGTGTTTAGAAGACATCTAAACTTTTATCAACAAGTAAATGAAATGGTCAGCCACAATGTTTAATCCAAATAATGCTAATTTTAAAAGAAAATATTACGTTAGACCACCAGCCTGAAACTTTTAGGCCATGGGGCCTCCCTTTGGTCAAGTTTAATCCAAACTGGGACTCTAATGCTGGATTTTGCACCTGAAACTGGGACTCATGGGACCAGGCAATGCTTCAACTAACTTGAGTCTAAGTTAAAGGTAAATTAGAGGATTTTCACAAATTTTTGGAAAGACCCACCCTCTGCACTTTAAATAAAATAAACATGCACGACTCTGTACTGTACTGGCTCCTGAGAGGGAACGGTTATTATAAGCATGTGAGAGCATGCATAAGCTCTCTTCTCCTCGTGCAAGTCCTGTATAAAAGTTGCTGCTTGCATCGCTCATGTCAGACTCCCCACGATAAGTTAAAAAGCGGACAAGCATGGAATGATTGACAATTAGGAAGACCACTTATTTTGATGATCCACCCTGAAAAAACTAAACATCCTCCACTATACCTTAAAGCTTTGTCACTGTTCCAGGGATTTGGGCCTTTGCTGCTCTCGCCTGTTTCTAGGTGACGTGCATTTAGATAATGTGTCAATTCAAATTAGTTTCTTCCTTCTTTTCACATTTGAAAACGTATTTCGAGCCACATAACTGCTTCCCAGTGGCTATTTTTCATTAATCATTAATTAGAGATATCTGTGAAAAGCAATAGTTGCAATTTTGCTAGAGTACCTAATAGGATTTTAGTTACATGGATATAATGTATAAGCCCTAGAAATACACTAAATGCATTCAACCCAACCTCATTCTTTAATCTTAAAAAATTTAAAGTCTGTTTAAAGGGTTAAAAAAAATGTTCAAATAATTACGTTCTATGTTTATTGAAATAAAATCAGAAAAAATATAAAACACAAAAAACCCCCACATTAAAAAACACCAAAAAAAAAACACTTACATGAATAGTTTGCAAATATGCATCAACAAACTATCATTTTTAAACTAAATTCTGAATTATTAAGCGATATTTATTAAGCTTAACTTCTAAAATGATAGATGAGACAGAAGAGATGTTTTTGTCATGCTGTCTTTTAAAGACAACCAATCAACTTTTACCATCCAATACCAAAAAGAATCCAGAAGGGAGCGCAAAGCTCCATAAATTATCTGATATTAACTGTATTTCAGTCTTCTCTTAGGTAGGCCTCCGGTATCTCCTCTTCATCATTGCTGCTCCCTTGGCTGGCAGCGTATTGTGTCATCTTTTCAACCTCCATGACTTTAGTCTCTGCAAGCTTCTTTTCAGCATCCAGTGACAGTTTCTGGGCCTCCTCCACCTGCGACTGGGCCAACAGAATGTTTGTCCTGACCGTGACGGACGCATTCTCTGCTCCTAAGCACACACAGGTACAAAACGCTCAAAGTTCTAAGATACAACATCTCAAGTTCAGACTTTAAAACAGCTTCATTAAGCAGGACATGGTGTCCATCATCATCCCCTTTGTCTCCCCCGCCCAAAGACCTGCAGAGTGACAGCTAACGATCCGTCCACTGTCTGAAGATGAAAACCAACAGGTGAAAACACTTAAGACTTTCAGATGCAAACCTGATATGTACGCCGCCTCGGCAGCCATCTCACACAGCCTCACTGAGGTCACCCAGGTCGACTCAAAGCGATTCATTTCCTCTTGTTTAGAGTTAACCTGCCACAAATTAAAACCTAGTCAGACATAACTAGATTTACAGCTTTCTGCTTTAAGATTTTTAGTTGTAAGATTTGAGCATGTAAAAGAAACACTTCAATGTGAAAGGACCACAGAGACTGACCTCTGCACGCTGGCTAATGATCACCTGCCAGATGGCATCTTCTTGTGCTGGACTAAATTTTCCTAAAGAGTCTAAATACTGCCTTTGTAGGGCGATGAGTGTGTGTACAGCCTGTTAGGAAGCAAATGGAAGGGTTGTAAAGTTTATACCAAAAATAAAAGACAACTTAAAGAGACACAACTTGTAGGATTTGATTTAAACACCCTGGGGTTAAACTAAAAGCTACTTCTTTTGACAAAAGAAAAAACAATAAAATCAGACCCTAATAGAAACAAAACTGTCTGAAAAGTTATTCTTCAATGTTCTGAAGCCAAATATCTGTAACCTTTGATAAATTGTATCTTTTGTATATTTCTTCTGACATGGAGCAGTGTTTGAGAAAAAAGGTAAATCATTATCAACTCTATGCAGATTTGCTTATTATTTCAGGTTGATCGATACAGGCATTGGGATTGTGCCGATGCAATGACTTGACATATTTGCAGATTGATCTTCTTTTAAAGTTGGAATCCTACAACTTTATTCTCATTTATCTTTTTTTCTTGTTAGTCTGACTCCAATGCTCGGACATAATTTTAAACCAAAATGACAATAAACAAGTAATTTAATTCATTTAACCACAGTGATTCTAACATATGTCATTTTTTTTACCCACTTTTGGAAAAGTGTAGGGTCCTGACACTCATGTACATAGGGTTAAAATCAACTATAGAGATTATGCTAGGTTAATTTGTTTTTTTTTAAACATTTGTGCCTCTAAGGCTACGTTTACACTGCAGGCCTTGATGCTCAATTCCGATTTTTTTATGAAATCTGATTTTTTTTATGTTGCCGTTCATATTTCCAAATATATGCGACTTGTATGTGATCTCCTGAGTGAACTGCAGTGATACAACGCAAGTGTCCCACATGTCCTACCGCCGTGCTCTGTGTTTACGGAAGTAAACATGGATGGTAGTTCCGGAGCACATCTAGAGGTCTTTTCCAACCATAAAAACTCAATCTTTTCAATATGTCTAAACATAAATACTGCTCTCCGCATCATCATCCGCCATGGTTGTTGTTTTTCTTGCCGCTTCTGCCTAGCAAGACGCAGAATAGTGATCTTTGCCGGGTATTAATGACGTTCGGGTCAGATGAATCTAACCTGGCCGTTCAGACACAGGTCGCATTTGAAAAGATCAGATTCATATCGGATTCAGGACCACATAGCCAAGTGGCCTGGGTCGGATTGGAAAAAAATTGGATCTGTGTTGTTCAGACTGCCATGAAAAGATCAGATCCAGGTCACATATGGGCAAAGAAATCGGATTTGGGTCACTTCAGGCTGCAGAGTGATCGTAGCCTAAATTAGTTTTATTTAGCTGCACTGGAAGAAAAAACAAAACAAAAAACTATCTCCTATATTTATAGTAGGGGTGTAAATCCCACCCATCATGGCGATTCAATTCAGTATCGACTTCCTGACGCAAAGATTCAATTATTTTCGATAGCGAAGAATACACCCCAAAATACTTCCACAGAAATGACTTGAACTCGCAAGGGGTGTGTAAGTCACCTTTTAGTGCTTCAGGAGTCAGAAATTACATAGGAGCGAATGGATAAAAATAGACCAGAGGGGGAAAAAAAAAATCTATACTCTTGCGGACGTGTCAGACGTGTCGATGCATCGGATCGTCAGCTGCTGGATCGATGCATCGACACAAAACTGTTATTATTTACACCCCTAATTTATAGAGGACATTTTATAGTAGAATAAAGCAATAATTGTTCCTTTTTTAATTGATGTAAAACTCTTGGATGGCTCTTTTTGCAGAGAAGCAAAAGTGTCCTTTAAAGAGGTTTTTTTTTTTTTTTATGATCACTTGACTTTAGAGCTTCCCCAGCAAATGTAAAGTATCAGTCAAGTCTAACATTAAAGGAGTTTCAGTCCCAACATGAAGCCATACCTTTGCATACTCTGTGATGGCATCAATCAGAGCCAAAGTGACCTGCGAGAGGAAAGTGCTTGAACTGTCTGTAACCAGAGAAGCTGCTCGTCGGACCAGGTTGTCATGAGAAAGGTTTTCAGCCTGCAGAGGTGGAATTCAGATGGGTTTACTTCAGCGGAAACTTACAAATATGCTCAACGAGGACTTCACTGCAACACTCACCTGTTTAAAAGGCACAGCACACAGACCACTGACAACTAGAGGAGCCACACCTGAACGCAGCACACCTGTCCATAGGTGGGATTTGGGAACAGATGGATTTATCCTGAACAGGAACCGGATAGAACTCCTGAACAGAACATGTAGTGTTAACAAAACAAAAAAAATATCCCAGAAATGACAAAGAAAAAAACGCAACACAACAAATCTGAGAGGAAAATGCCGATGATTAAAGACAACTTCTCTTTTTAAGGGTCTTCTAAAAACTATCTAATGACAATTTAATCAGAACATTTCGTTTACATATATTAATAGTCGATATAAGGACAGGGTCACATTATGTAACTGTAATTACGACCAACCTGAATAAACTGAGATAGTGCAATCTCCTCCACAGCGCGGCCATGTTGGTCCGCCAAAATAAAGAAGTTCCTCCCACGATCAAAGGTTCCCCCTTCTTCTTGATAACTTTACAGCACTGTGCAAGATAATAGATGGTCACCTAGCGCCATCTCGTGGCCTGTAGTGAAACGGAACCTTCTTAACATTAAAGATAATTGTGAATTTGATCCATAAAAAAAAAAGTTATTTTCACTTTCGTGTATTGCTGAAATTACATAATATATTTTTTTTTCCTATTTTGAGTGCATGAAGAATGAGAAATAGTTTTCTTATAATGAAAATTATTCATGGTTTGTCCATAAAATGATCAGAGACTGAAAAACCTGGAGGTTTTTTTAATGTTGCTTTTATAGCATTTTTGTGGCTTATTTTTTATTTATGTGTAGTGTGTTGAGCAGTTGTGGTGATTTTGGAGGGAGGATACTGTTGTTCATGTGGTTAAAATGTGTTTACAGTATAAACACTATTTTTCTTACACAACATTATGAGTAATAATTTCTCCCTAAGTTAGGTCCCTATGAAGATTTTTATTATTATTATTATTTTTTTTTATTTTTATTTTTTTAAGGTTAAGGACTAATGAGTGAATATATCTTAAAATATGTGCTGGTTGTGGTCAGGGTCAAGTTAGGCCAAATTAGTCAATTAACAATAAGGAGAGGTCAATACAAAATCCTTCTTAGGATAGAAAAACACAGTGTGGGGTTATGTGTGCTATTAAGAAGAAACATCAACCAAACATAACACTTGTGATATGTTTTTATTTTACATTAAAATGAGATTTTTCTTCATTAAATCAAAATGTAGAGTCAAACATAATGGTCAGAATTAGGCTTTAGAAGTTCTATAAAATGATTGGAGCTTCTAGTGACCTACAAATACAATCTTCTGAAATATCATACGGAAAATACATTTATGGATATGTTGATTATCACATTTTGCATTATTTTGCTGAGCCTGTGTTCACAACTTTGCTGTCAAAGCTTCTGGTTCAACTACATGCCTCCATGACAAGACAAACTCAACACTGCCCTCTTGTAGTGGCTGATCAAGTTTTTTTCTCCCTCCTTTCATCTCCTTCTACCTGAGGAAGATTTTATTTTATATTTATTATTTCAAGTTTTCAAGTCTTTCTGTCTGATAGACTCAACTTTTAATGACAAACCAGATCTAAAAAATCTAAAAAATAAAAGCTTAAAAAGATATTATCAATCATTAAAATTATTACTGTATATTACCGTATGCCTGACTGACGGTATAGACAGTGTTTGTGCTTGATTTTTATTGTAATAAATGGCATAGTTATACAATAACATGTCTCCTCCTTTATTAAGGTTTTTAACATTTTATCTGGCCATGACAGGATATAGAAATTTCCCCTAATATATACATATTTTTTTTACATAATCTGTTTTATATAAAGAAATTCATTTACGGTTAAAAAAAAGGTTTTTAGTCTTTTTTATATAATTTGTACAGAGTGCATAAAAAAAATTACCAATAAGCCATCTTCTCATTACATTCTCATAAATTAGCCTAAGAGACCTTAGGGCAACTTTTCTTTTTCTTTTTTTTTTAGCTGTGTAGGCCACAAACTCAACCATACTACTTCTAAAACTGAAAAAGTTTAACCAACATCAGCTTTTATGGATAGCAAACAAGGAATTTTCAGTTTTCTGCACTTACAGTGTACAGACATCAAACATGATTTAATAAACTTTTAGAGAACAAAAGAAAAAGAGCAACTTGTTTATACTATACATGTATACAGCCAACATTTCTATAGACATGCAGGTTTTGGTAATGTAAATATGTTTATTTCTATTTCACATTTTATTAAGCTGACTACTCTGTCCTCTAAAGTGTATACAAAACATGTAATGCAATTTAAAAGATAAAAATTTACCAGTGTCACTATTTTATTAACAAAATGGTTTAATACAACTAAAACAGTAGAATAAAAGCCTTAAAATGTGCAATGCTTAGAAAAAAAAATTAATGTACTGTAACTCAATAAAAACGTGTCACTCCATAAGCGATGAGGAACAAAAGACACACCTAGTGTCCATGGAAGGCTGCCTGGACCCAGACCCAGTCAGCAACAAACTATGGGCTAAGCTTGAACTTTTGTTCAGTTTACTTCAGTTTTCCAAAACAGAGATAAACAGACATTAAAGGTCTGGCAAAGTTAGGGAAAGAGGTTCTGGCTAAACAGTTTGGGGTTTTCATGATTTGTGATCATTTAATGGGTTTTACTGTTATGTAAAACTTGCTAAGAAGATGTTAATAGCGACCATTTGGTGGCAAAGCTAATGCTGACAAATCCCATTTGCTCTTAATTTGTTTAAAAGCTCCTTTGACTTGATTCCAAATTCTTCAAGAAAAACTTTGGTTCTCAAACATAAACTCCATGCCAATTTTTGAAATGAGAGAGGTTGGATAACGGGGACAAAAGGTCAGACTGGATCTGTGTGGTGAATAAAAAATAAAAGGCGAATAAATAATTCATTTACAGCAGGGCACATGCAGATCAGGAAATAAAGGAATCTCAAATGCAGATGAGTTTATTAGGAGATCATAGAAGCAGCTTGGGCAGAAGGAGTGCAGGAAGACTGAGTATGGGAGGAAAAATAAAAGGTGGAGATGAATAGAGACACAAAGACTATGTTCACACAGCAGGCCAATGTTGTGCAACTATAATATATTTGCTGCCCACCCCGGTAGGGGTAGTAAATATGTTTTTTAATCAGATAATATTCATCTGGATGCTCTACTGGCTCAGGTTTAGAAAAACAAATGAAAGTGTGAATCGAGCTCATTCCAAGTTCCATTCAAAGTAAAAACTCTTGACTAAACTCAACTAAACTAAGCTACTATATTCAAAGAAGAACGAAAAACATAGTTGAAAGCCATAATCAATAAAATCATCCAATATTACAGTTCGTCATGGATTTTATGTTTGAAAACCAAGGTTTAACTTGAAGAAGTTGAAATGTGGTCAAATTAGCTTTTGACTAATTTAGAAGAATTGGAATGTGTTAAAAACTATACACAATATAAATCCAAGAGGTAAATAAAGCATTATATAATGTCTCCCACCCCATGCATGAAGCTGCTGCAGAACTGGAGAGCTCCTTCAGTGACAGACTGCTGCTCCCTAAATGCACCAGGGAGCGTTATCACAGATCCTTCCTCCCAACAGCTGTAAGACTCCATAACCACCACTGTTCCCAACAACCTTAATAAGTTGTTACATCCATGCTGATTTTGCACAGTTTCTACCTTAGTCAGTTAAATAACATGCTCATTTTGCACATCTCTGATGTTGCTGCAAATTTCAAATATCCATTACTGTAAAAATGTCCATAGGTGTATATTGGTTATTTATTCTCCAGCTGCACAGTTTTATATCGTTAAAGCACTTTAAAGTGCAGCATTTTATTTGTTCATTTTTTTTAAATTATGATTATGCTATTTTTAGACACTCTTCTAAGGTCCACATTTGTGTGACAATTTTTACTATAATCTTTTTCCTGTAACGCTAGCATTTACCCACTGTGGGACAATAAAGGGACGCTCTATTCTATTTACTATTTGGCAAAATAATGTTTTATTTTAAGATTTTCTTAAACAGAAACCAAATAAAATTCAGTTAATACATTTTTAGCCTTTTTTTGATTGAGGTAGTAGCTAGCAAACATGAGGACTCCCACATTTTGGTAATCAAAATGTAATGAGCATATGAGAAAACACATGAAGGTAAACCATATATTAGTGCTCAACCCCTTAGTTTTAGCTTTATAAACAACAGCTTAAACATGTCAGCATGGTGTCCTATATGGTTTAATGAGTTAACATGTCCTTAACCCACATTAAACACATTAAAATTGTCAAAAATCATCAAAGTGACAAATTATTTATCCAGAAACCTTCCCTGACTAGTGCCAGACCTTTGCATCTTTATTTCCGTTTTGAAGGCTTGAGTTTTCTACAGCATTTAGCAGCATAGCAGCAGGCCACAGCAGAGTAATTCTTTGTTTAAGCCAGGTACTGAACATTAGATTAGATGAGCTTTATTGATCTCACAGCGGAGAAATTCACTCGTCACCTATTGGCATAGAAGTTACTGAAGGTGCAAACAGGGAGGAAAAGGTGCATTAAGAATAAGCAATATATATACAGTATATCCAGGTATATACAGTATATCAAGATAAATAGAAATAAGGTGCAAGTGTACATGTATCGCACACAATGAAAACAAAATAAAAATAAGAAATAAGACAATAAGAAATAAAAAATATGTACAATCCGGATGGCTAATATACAGGGGGGAGAAATATTGCACATTTAGCGTATTGCACAGGATATTGTTCACAGTCAATAAATAAAAATAAAAATGTAGCTGCACAGTGGTTTTTACAGGAGTTATTGTTATTATAGTGCAATATTATAGAGTCTGGTGGCAGCAGGAATTAATGCCCCATTTATACTACCCCTCTGAAACCGATCAGTGCCGAGTTTGGACCGAGCTTGGATTTCTACATCACGCTAGCACGGTTCCTTGCCTCCAATCAGTGGTGCACGTCACTACAGCTCTCAAGGAGGAAATTAATATATACACAAATGGTGGCGTCCATAACATTCAGGAACTAATGTGCCTGGATAGCGTCCTCTGCCCAAAATTTCAATGACAGCATCGGTCTCGCATTATCCCAGGTCGCACTGCGCTCTTTTGATGCCATTTGTCGTTATTATGCTAAGAAGCAGTTTTTGTTGTGAACAGGTGAAGAGATCTTTCAATTACAAAGCCATACATGGCAAATAACCTTGCAAATGAGTCAGGTGACTGTAAATAGGAGACAACGCAGTTTGCTCATGTGCTCTTGGTTATCAGAGAACCGAGACAAAACTGAACTGTGCAGATCCCTACTGTTGAACTACTACTAGATTTAGCGCGGTTCAGTTGGGTCTGGCACGGTCCAGTTCAGTTGCGTTTCATTTACACTCAATAGTTGTCTTGGTTACCGTGCTCAGAGTGTTCTTGGCA